CTATAGCTCTCAGTCTCTGGTGCAGAACACTGTTAAAGGCTGTTTCTGATTAAGTTGACCACGTAAAGACTCAAAGCCTCCAGAGACTGCCTCTGCCTAGAATCGCGGTTCTCAACCTGTGGGTCGCGACCCCTTTGGGGGTCAAATGACGCTTTCACAGGAGTCGCCTAAGACCATCAGAAAACACATATATAATTACAGATTGTTTACAGTAGCAAAATAACAGTTATGAAGTAGCAACAAAAATAATTTTATGGCTGGGGGTCACCACAACATGAGGAACTGTATTAAAGGGTCGCAGCATTAGGAAGGTTGAGAACCACTGGTCTAGAGACTGATAGACTTGAATTGCCTCCAGGCAATCATCCTCAGGTGTGGTGAGATTTTTCAACAGGGTGGGGCAGTTGCTTCTGCCTGGAAGCTAATTGTTATTTTTTTGTCTCTTAGGTGGCCTCAGGGCATGGTGTTTTCCAATAGGGTGAGTCAACTGTCTTCCCCCAAGGCAAGGCAGGTGTCTATGTGGGAAAGATGTCCTTTGCTGCATGAGAGAATGACTCAGCCCAGGAAACTGGGGGTGTTTGTCTTTTGAGCTCTAATCCATGAGTCTACAATCCTGGCTTCTGCTCACACAGCTCCAGTCCACTCCACCCTCCCTCTGCCAGAGCACAAGGTGGGAGACTCCACAGGGAATGTTTTGCATTGGCCCTTTAAGAAGGTGCCTGAATTTTCAGCTGTCACTCCCTGGCAGATAGCAACCTTGCTGCTTTTTACAGCCAGATGGTATGTGGGTACCCTCCTCAGTTGTGTTGCTCTCTGCTGAGGGGCCCAGCTTGGGGATTAGATTCCAGAGTTCTTAGTGGCACCCCCTTGCTCCCCCCGCCCCACCCCTGCCACAGCTGAGATATCTCTCTGCAACTTCAGTTGCTGTCTGTAGGCATCCAACCAGCCCTTCCCCACCTCTGCCCCTCCTACCAGTCTTTATGCAGTCTCCACTTTCGGTCCTTGGGTATCAGGGTTCTCTCCTGCAAGTCTTCTGTTGATTATTCAGGAAGTTTTTTTGTATTTTAGTTGCAATTCCAGTTTGTTCCTGGGAGCATGTCCATGCACCATCCTCTTACTCTGCCACCATTTTTAATCCCTGGGAGTTGATTTTCTTTTTAAAGGGTTGACCTTGTTTTGTCTAATAAGTTTCCTCCAGCAAATTTGTGAAGTTTGTCCCTTCTGGAGTGTGCAGACATTCATGTATGTCCATTTATAAAATGTTTAAATCTTGCTTCCTAAGATTTGCTGCTGGGTCTGCATTGCTTAGCATTTAGCCAAAGATTGGATCAAAGTTCTCTTTACACCTCATCAGTTAGGACTTCCACTTGCTGATGGATCTGTGTGTTGGCTCACAAGGACATTCAATGATCAGGTCATTTTCAAGTCTGCCCTGGTTTTGCACATCCCAGAGAATGAATGAATCAGTTGTGGAAGAGTGTTCCACATGTTTCTTGGTTACTCTTACAGGGAAAACACATTAATGACAGCCTTTGAACTGGAATTGGAAAATGTTTGCTAAGGGATTTGGTAAGGCATCCATCTCTCAGTCATTTTTCATTACAAAACAAATACTAGTCTACACATTATGAATTCCATTAGCATAACTTAAATGAGTGTGCAGGAAAGCAGAACCAGGGCATTATTTGAGTCTTAGATATGCATGAGGATTCCAAGCAATACCTTTCTACAGGGCATCTGCTCTGGGTCCAAAATTGGTTCCACAAAAATCTAGAAATGGGAAATTTTAAATTCCAATTGCTCGTTTGTCCAAGGAAACGCAGAAACTCAGAGTTGGCCTAACGTTTACTCTATCTCTGGTCCATAGAGAAACTCCAGGGTCCACTGACCTGGAGTCCTGGTGACTGATTCCTACCTCTCTGCAGCCGGGTCATGTCTTTGATCCTCAGTGCAGGCTGAATCAGGAATGCCAGAGCCTTCTGGTCACCTGTCACTACAGAGAGCCTCTCCTGTAAATCTGAGGAGCAAATAAGGTACAATAGGTCATTTTCTAATTGGGCTGCTGAAGGAGGCAAATGCTTAGTCATCATAGTTTAAACCACTCCCACACCCAAAAACCAGTTGGTCTAGCTTAGCTGAGTTGTCTTGAGAATTTTTTGTTGTTGATTTGGTTAATTGTTCTTTTACCAATGAAGGCACTCGTCCCTCAGCAGGGACCCCTTCACCAGCAGCAATTTTTGCGGAAGGTCCAGGCACTCAGCTTCTGAGTTTCCATTTCCAAGCAATTTTGCGAACTATTGAACCAAAGAACAAAATGGCAATAAATGGCCACAGAAGAATAACTCCCTAAATTAAAATCTATGTGTTTGTCTTGCTGTAAGATGTGTTTACCAAACTTTCACATTTTCCTGGTGCGTTTTATGCAATGTTGGTTTCTGTTACTCTTCATTTTGGCTAGCTCCTGGAATCATTAGCAAATGTAGTAGGAATGTGGTGAGCTCTTAGATAGCTGGTTTTGCATTAGCTGTTGCCTTGGGCCTGCTCCTGCTCCTGTGTGTTTCACCCACCATAGCAGGTGTGGTCCTATTGGAATTGCTGGATCAACTACTACACTAAAAGGAGTCTCTGTTGGTGTTCACATGTTTATACCAGTTACTGTGGACTATGGAGTCAACCTATTTTACCTTCCTAAGAAATGGACTAAAGATGAAAAGACAGGAGTTGCTGATAGAGAAAGATGTAAGCAAGGGGAAATGAGTATTTAGATTTTAAGTTTGTAAATCTTAAAGAATATAGAACATGTATGGAGCACAAGAGGGCTCATAATGGTGAAGATGATCAGCTCAGTAAGCGAATTACTGAAAAATTTGGCTAAAGGGATTTGAGGAAAAAATAGATATTTTATGTCATTAAAAAAAATTATCTTACCCTTCAATAAAAACAGCCTCTCTTGCTTGCATTTTACTTTTCTTGTTTTTTTATCTGCATCATAAAATTCCTCAATAAGACATTTTCCTGGTGAAATCTTTACCATCCAGTTTGCCTTCCCTGCAAACCTTCCATAAACTGTCAACTCCTTCACCAGTTACAAAAGTACAGCTTGAAAACTTCTTCAGTCTGATTGTCAACTGTAAAGATATTAATATAATAATAATTTATAATGATAATGGAAAAGTATTCCATCACAATAAAAAATGAAAAATCCCTGATATGTCTAAAGTGGGCAGGATTTACATAAGGAAAAATACTACCACGTCGCTAATAGTGTCAACAACAAAAACAAACCAAAAATCCAAACATGAAAGTATCGCCCTGCCTGGGAGCTCAGTTGGTTAGAGCATCGTCCAGGTATGCCAAGGTTGTGGGTTTGAATCCCAGTTCAGGCACATAGAAGAAGCAACCATGAAAGAATAAATAAATGGGACAACAGATGTTTCTTTCTGTCTAAATAAATAAGAATATTTTTAAAAGTTTATTTAAAAAAATAACTACCAAAAGATAAGAGGAACATATAATAGGACTTAAATAAATTGAGAGACATCATATGTATCTGCATATACTGATTCAAGAGATTATCAGTTAAAATTAATTCTCAAGCTAATTAAAATTTCACTAAGATCTCTTTTAAAACTTGGAATACTGATTAGAACTTCATTTCAAATAATTTCAAGGTAAACATGGCCAGGAGGAGCCAGAAAAAGCATATTAAAGAGGGGGAACATTGTAACTATAAAACACTACAATACGTTTTATAAAGAAGTTAAAATAGTACAGTGCTGATGCAAAAAGAATCAGACAGTTGAATGGATAAAACAGACCACCCAAAAACAAAAAACATAACCTGAGAGTTTAATGCACGGTAAAGTGACATTTTAAACTAGGTGAGAAAAGGTTTGGGACAGGTGAATAGCCATTTTTTAAGGAAGTTCTTAAATGTGAACACCATGCTCCAAAATAAATCTGGGATTGATTAAAGATTTATTTGGCCCACCTCTTACACAAATTAAAATGTAAGAGGTGGGCCAAAGGGGGAGGATTAAGAGGCCTGCGGAAAGGTGCTTTCATCCGGAGAACGGGCACTGGTTTCTCATAAATTTGCACCTGCAGACACATATTGCCACAATCTCTGAAACCATGAAAACATCCATCTGTTGTTGCATCTGATAAATTCCCTGGAGGTTGTCTGGGGCCAGAGGGATGTGGAACAGATATAAACTGGGGCACTGGGAGATTTAGAGGTGTTTTTAATGGGAGTTTTCTCAGGGACCAGACCTTGAGCATCCTGAAGTTCTACACCACCCTAGCCCTGGTCATAAGCAAAGACTGCTTTTTCACCGGGGTAACTATTGCAAGCCTCTGGAAACACCTGGCCAACTCCCAGGGATGTTTGAAAAGAACCCAGACCTGCCCACAGACAATCACTGAGATTTTTTTAATTTTAATTTTTGTTAATTCTCACGGAGTATATTATTTCCATTAATTGTTTCTTTGTGGAAGGAAGGGAAGGAGGAGGGGTGGGGGTGGCAGAGAGAGAAACACCAATGTGAAGGAGACTTTGGTTGACTTCCTCCCGAATGCACCTGATGGGACCAGGGATCTAATCTGCAACCTAGGTTCATGCCCTTGACCAGTAATGGAACCCGCCACCCTCTGGTGCTCAGGCAGAAGCTCTAACCAGGGAGGCACATCCACCAGGCAGTCTCTGCGATTTGAGTTACTTGGGCTTTGCACATGGGCTCTGGCTGCCCTTGACCACAAGGCCCTATGCACATGCCTAGTGATGTCAGAGGCCGTTGCTTGGTTACTGCGATTCCGAGGGGAGAGATGCTAAACTGCCAAACTGCCCTGCTTGAATGCTGTGGCGTGAGGTGGTTGGCTAGAGAGCTAGTATTGAGCTCAGGAGGCGGGAAAAGTGGAGGGAAGGTGAGGCTTCTCTGAAGCCTTGACTCTCCACCATGAAGAAGGTGTTTTCTTTTCTGAAAAGTCCCAGGCTGGCGGCCATGGACTCCCCCACCAATCCTGGGAGGAGTGGCATGGGAACCCCAAGGCCTCTCTTTCGAGACACAGATATGGGAGCGATCCACAAAGCTGCCAGCGTGGGCAACGTGCGGAAAGTGAAGAAAATCCTATTGTTCAGGAAAAGTGGCCTGAACGATAGGGACAGGATGAGCAGGTAATGGGGACTGGGAGGCTGGGGTCCTGGGGTCCACTGGGAGGAGGTGGGTGGACTTGGGAGAGACACCCTTGCAGGTCTCAGCAGGTGGGAGCAGCCTCCTGTCAGCCAGGTCACTGTAGCTCCTCCCTGGTGGACACCTGACCTGGGGTCTAGCCCTCAGACCAACTTTATGAGCAAAGACAACAACATAAGGACCCTCTCACAATGCCTCTTACAGAACACTTCACTGACAACCTTTAAGTGATGTAACTGCATATCAATAATGGAAACACAATTAAGTATATAGAGTATTTTGTATTAGACAGAGGCCTGGTGCACAGAATTTGATCACTGAGGGAAGGGGGGAGTCCCTCAGCCTGGCCTGCACCCTCTCACAGTCCACGACCCCTCACTCCTTACCGCCAGCCTGTGCACTACTCCTTAGTGCTGCCACAGAGGCAGGAGAGGCTGCTGCCACAGCCGCTGCCCTCACCAGCCCTGAACCCAGCTTCTGGCTGAGTTGAACTCCCCCTGTGGGGGCACACTCACCACCAGGGGGTAGCTCCTGCATTGAGCATCTTCCCCCTGGTGGTCAGTGATATCATAGCGACTGGTATTCTGCTGTTTGGTCGATTTGCATATAAGGCTTCTATTATATAGGATGTACACATTTTTACACTATAATGTTACATACTATAGAAAAATGCATAATGAGAGAAATAATTCCCATAATCAATCACCTTCTGAGCTAAAAGTTCTTTGGATAAAATCCAATACCCGCTTTATATCAGTGTGCACCTGTGTTCTTTATGGAGGGACCTCAGAAGGAACTTTGAGGTGGGAAGATGGCTGTGGTCCTGATTAAGAAGACTCACTTTCTCAAAATGTGTGCTCTTCCTATGTTTATCAATTTTACAACCAAGTAAATATGTTTTAAAATTGTTTCAGTTACATGCTATCTTTCATTGATCTGGTGAAATTAAGAAAATTTTGTATAGTAGACACAGGTTTAGCCTTCTAGCTATCATCAGGTGCTATAAACTTTCAGAAAGTATTTATTTACAGATAAATAGTTGGAACAGAATGGGAAATGCCCAAACACCCCAAATATATGTAAGACCTTAGAAATTGATACTGGTGACATTTCATGTTTGTAGAAAAAGGTCAATTAAAAATGGTGGACATTTTCTGTAAAGTATTGGGGGAAAATAACTAGATTAAAATAAATTTCCAATTAAAAATTTTAAATATAGAAAATGAGAAAAGTACCAGAAGAAAGCACAAAGGTTTATTTATGCATTTTTAAAAAAATGTTGACCAAGACTTCAAGAGCAAGATTTCAGGAGGTTGATTGAGCAATATAAAAAATTCAAACCCTCTGTGTATCCGAAAATAATAATATCAAAATCAAAGAAAATGTGCTTGCAAAATATTTGCAATGTATGTGTATCAGAGGAAAAAGTATGTCTTCCTTTTACAGAGAAGCCTTTAAAATCAACAAGAAAAAACTCTAATTTGAAAGTGGACAAAGTGCTTTTTGCATAAGTATAAGTGACCAGCAGACAAAGGAAAAAATATTTAGTGTTCCTGGTAAGAAAAGGAATAAGTTAAAAGAGGAGTTAAATAATATTTCCCATCCACAAAATTTGTGAAGTTGACCAGCAATTGTCTTTATATTGCTACTTCCAATTTAAGTTGCTTTTGATTTTGAAATAGGAAATTTGATGCTGAGTACCACACTTAACATATGTATTCTCTATACCCATCAATTCTCTTTATACTAAAATATCATTATGAAATAATTAGATAAATTACAGAATTTGTTTTACTCAGCACTTCTTAAAATAGCAGTGTATTAATAAGAAAGACTCAGCTTGGTTATACATACAAACAGACTATGATCTTCTGTTATGGAAAAATATGTGCAAAATGTGATAAAATTTATTTCTGAGCATTTGTATTATAAACTAGAGGCCCGGTGCACAAAAATTTGTGCACTTGGGGGGGTCCCTCAGCCCGGCCTGTGCCTTCTTGCAGTCTGGGACACCTCGGGGGATGACCACCTGCTGGCTTAGGCCCACTCCCAGGGAGATTGGGCCTAAGCTGGCAGTCAGACTTCCCTCTGGCAGCCCAGGAGCCCTTAGGGGAGGTCCATTTGCCAGTGGAGAGCAAGCCTAAGCTGAGGTCAGACATCCTTAGTGCTTCTGAGGAGGCAGGAGAGGCTCCCACCACCACCACTGTACTGGCAGCTGGCAACCTGGCTTGTGGCTGAGCAGAGCTCACCCCTGTGGGAGCGCACTGACCACCAGGGGGCAGCTCCTGCATTGAGCATCTGCCCCCTGGTGGTCAGTGTGTGTCATAGTGAACAGTCATTCCCAGTTCTGCTTTTAGAGTTAATTTGCATATTACCCTTTTATTATATAAGATGAACATTTCCTTTAATGAACATATACAGACATTCTAGTAAATATTATGAATTGATTTCTCACTTTCTGTTTTTTGGAAAATTTTTTGAGATTTGGTATCTTCTGACAACTATTGGCCTCTTCAGAAGTAAAGGGAATATTTTTATGTTTAGTTGGTGTTTACTGTTGACACTGTTACAGATGTCCCCCATTTCACCCCCTTAGTGCCCTTCCACCCAGCCCCCTTCAGCCTTCACACACTGCTGTCTGTGTCCATGGGCTGTGCACATATGCACATATGTTCTCCGGCTAATCTCTTCCAGTTCCCCCACCCCTTCCCTCTGAGATCTGTCAGTCTGGCCCATGTATCCATGCCTCTTCTCCTATTTTGTTTGTCAGTTTATTTTGTTTGTTAGATTCCACATGTAAGTGAGATCATATGGTATCTGTCTTTCTCTGACTGGCTTATTTCATTTACCATAATACCCTCCAGATCCATCCATGCTGTGGCAAAGGGTATAAGAGCTCCTTCTTTTTTACAGCAGCGTAGAATTCCATGGTGTAAATGTACTACATCTTTTTCATCTACTTATCTACTGATGGGCACTTGAGTTGTTTTTCACCTATGCCTGTAAGCACATCATATGTGTTTTACTTCATATAGCTTTATTACATATAATATGTAAATGATTATAGATTAATCTTTTTAGTTGTGTGGTTATAAAAATGAAACATTCAAAATAGTGCCCTGACTAGTATGGCTCAGTTGGTGGGAGCATCGGCTGGTACCCCTCCTGTACACTGAAAGGTCTCAGGTTCTTTTCAAGTCAAGACTCCTATCCAGGTTTCTGGTTTGATCACTGCTTGGGTGGGGTGCCTATGGGAGGCAACCAATTGATGCTTCTCATTCACCTCGGTGTTTCTCTCACTCTCTCCCTCTCCTTCCCTCTCTCTCTCAAATCAATTAAAACTAATTTTTTAAAAAACATTTAAAAATGTTCTTTTTGTTTTATTGTTGACAGTATTACAGACTTCTCCCATTTTTTTCCTTTTTTGTCCTCCCTCCACCCAAACCCAACCCCACCAGGCAACTTTCCCATATTATTGTCTGTGTCCATGGGTTATGCATATATGTTCTTTGGTTGATCTTTTCCTGTCCTCCCACTATCACCCTGATATCTGTTGATCTATTCCATGCATCCAAAGCTCTGGATATATTTTGTTCATCAGTATGTTTTCTTCATTAGATTACACATATAAGTGAGATCATGTGATGTTTTTCTTTCTCTAACTGGGTCTTTTTCTGTTTTTTTTTTCGCTAAAAGTATTACAAAGGGTATTACATAAGTGTCCTTCCCCCCCCCCACCCTTGACAAGCCCCTGCCCTCACTTACCCCCCAGTGTCTTATGTCCATTAGTTATGGTTATATGGATGCATACAAGTCCTTCGGTTGATCTCTTACTCCCCTCCCTCCTGTCCCCCAACCCTCCCTGGCCTTCCCGCTGCAGTTCGACAATCAGTTTGAGGCAGCTCTGCCACTGTATTTATTATTGTTCGAAAGTTTATAATGGTCTTAATTATCCACGAAAGAGTGAGAACATGTGGTATTTTTCCTTCATTGACTGGCTTGTTTCACTTAGCATAATGCTCTCCAGTTCCATCCATGCTGTTGCAAATGGTAAGAGTTCCTTCTTTTTTACAGCAGCATAGTATTCCATCGTGTAGATGTACCACAGTTTTCTAATCCATTCATCTACTGATGGGCACTTAGGCTGTTTCCAGATCTTAGCTATGGTGAATTGTGCTGCTATGAACATCTGGGTGCATATATCCTTTCTGATTGGTGTTTCTGGTTTCTTGGGATATATTCTTAGAAGTGGGATCACAGGGTCAAATGGGAGTTCCATTTCCAATTTTTTGAGGAACCTCCATACTGCCTTCCATAGTGGTTGCACCAGTCTGCATTCCCACCAGCAGTGCACAAGTGTTCCTTTTTCTCCACATCCTCTCCAGCACTTGTCGTTTGTTGATTTGTTGATGATGGCCATTCTGACAGGTGTGAGATGGTACCTCATTGTTGTTTTGATTTGCATCTCTCGGATGATTAGTGACTTTGAGCATGTTTTCATATGTCTCTTGGCTTTCTGAATGTCCTCTTTTGAAAGGTGTCTATTTAGATCCTTTGCCCATTTTTTGATTGGATTGTTTATCTTCTTTTTGTTAAGTTGTATGAGTTCCCTATAAATTTTGGAGATTAAGCCCTTATCAGATATGACGTTGGCAAATATGTTTTCCCACGAGGTGGGTTTTCTTGTTGTTTTGTTGATGGTTTCTTTTGCTGTGCAGAAGCTTTTTATTTTGATGTAGTCCCATTTGTTCATTTTCTCTTTAGTTTCAACTGCCCTAGGAGCTGTATCAGTGAAGAAATTGTTTTGGCATATGTCTGAGATTTTGTTGCCTTTGTATTCTTCTAGAATTTTTATGGTTTCCTGTCGTACATTTAAGTCCTTTATCCATTTTGAGTTTATTCTTGTGTATGGTGTAAGTTGGTGGTCTAGTTTCATTTTCTTGCATATATCTGTCCAATTTTCCCAACACCATTTATTGAAGAG